TATTTTTACATTGAGAAGAGGCTCTGATAAAGCATGTGTTTTATTCCATCTAATGAATTAAGATACAAATAATTATAAATCGTTTTGTGCTAAAGTCACAACATATTGTTGGGAAAATCTGAGATATGCAATATTACAGAATATACTTCTGTACTGTTCTTTTCAATTTTACACTTGATATGTGGAATTTGGCATCAGGATTGGAGGAAGACTCATTAACAACTTGAGATACGCAGATGATACAACCTTGCTTGCTGAACATGAAGAGGACTTAAAATACTTACTGATGAAGATCAAAGACCAATGCCTTTGGTATGGATTGCTTCTCAATGTAAAGAAAAGAAAAATCGTCACCACTGCACCAATGAACAACATTGCTATCAACAGAGAAAAGATTGAAGTTGTCAAGGACTTCATTCTAGTCAAGAAATCAAAGGACATATTGCATTAGGCAAATCTGCTGCACAAGACCTGTTTGAAAGTGTTGAAGAGCAAAGATGTCAGCTTGAGGACTAATGTGTGCCTGACCCAAGCCATGTTATTTTCCATAACCTCACATGCATGCAAAAGCTGGACAGTGAATAAAGAAGGCCATAGAAGAATTGATGCATTTGAGTTATGGTGTTGGAGGAGAATATTGAAAGTGCCATGGGCTGCCAAAGGTACAAACATATCTGTGTTTGAAGAAGTGAGACCAGAGTGCTCCTTGGAGGCCAGGATGGCCAAACTTTGTGTCTCATACTTCGGACATATTAACCAGTCGCTGGAGAAGGATGTCATGTTTGGTAAGGTGGTGAAAGACCCTCAGCGAGATGGATTGGCAAAGTGGCAACATTAATGGTTTCAAGCATGGCAACAATTGTGAGGTAGGTCCAGGAAGGGGCAATGTTTTATTCTGTTTTGCATAGGGTCATTATGAGCTGGTACTGACTTGATGGCACCTAACAACAACAACATGTGGAGTATGGAGTTCTGGTATGGCACTGTGCGTTAATATGTTGTACTGCAAAGTCAGTTTGAACCACAAGGTCGGCAATTCAAGCTCACCAGCCACTCCTCAGAATCCCTGTACAGGGTCTTTATGGGTCTGAATCAACTCTATGGCACTCAACAACAATAATATGGACTATACTGGAATATGAGATCTCCTAGTGGGAAGGCAACAATGGAGTCAAGTATTCCAGTAATGATAAGAATGTCATTAGTGTTTCATTCTGTTGTATGTGAGAGCAAACTTAATGGCAACAGATAACAACAATAAATTACCAACTGGGAAGTATAAAATTAAATCAATGAAAGACAATAAATGAACTTTGACTAATTTCTTTCCTCATTTATATTCCCTTGTTTTATAGGGATTGTTTGCTCTTGCCTTTCCAGTATGAAGCAAATTACCCAAAGATGCCTAACTCTACCACAGTGACTGAATTTCTGCTTATGAGATTTTCTGATCTGTGGGAGCTCAGAGTCCTGCATGCAATACTATTCTTACTGATGTACTCAACAACCTTGATGGGAAACCTTCTCATTGCTACAGTAACCACTTTTGACAAGACTCTCCACACCCCCATGTATTTCTTCCTTAGGAATATGTCTGTCCTGGACATGTGCTTCATTTCTGTCACTGTACCCAAGGCATGTGCCATATTCCTGCTTAACAACAGGGAGATCTCTATGACTGGCTGTGCAGCTCAGATCTTCCTTGTGATTTCATGTGCTACTGCAGAGCTATTGTTCCTCACTATCATGGCCTATGACCGTTATGTGGCCATCTGTCATCCCCTTCATTACCCTGTGATCATGAACCCTCGCTTCTGTGTTCAGATGACACTGTCCTCTATATTCAGCAGTCTGATCTATGCAGGTGTGCACACAGGTAACACATTCCGATTGTCCTTCTGTGAGTCTAATGTGGTTCATCAGTTTTTTTGTGACATACCTTCTTTGTTAAAGCTTTCCTGCTCTGATATCTTTATCAATGAGGTTACAATTTTTTTTTCTGCAGTGGCGATTGTAGGTGGTTGCTTTTTCTGCATCATCGTGTCTTATATTCACATATTTTCTGCTGTGCTCAAGTTTCCAACCAAGGGAGAGAGAAGAAAGGCCTTTTCTACCTGTGTACCTCACATTCTCGTGGTGACAATCTTTGTCTGTTCAGTGAATACTGTGTATATAAACCCAACCTCCAACTCTCCTACAATTCAAGACATGATAATTTCTGTGTTCTATTCTATAGTCCCTCCTCTCCTAAACCCTATAATCTATAGTCTTAGAAACAAGCAGATAAAGGAGGCTGTAAAGGGAATTATGAGGAGACTATTCTGTTCAGAAAAACAATAATTATTTTAAGGTATTCCTACTTTAATAGGTTGAGGAAAAATGCTTCAAAATTTGATCCCTTCAAAACTTGAGGATCTGATTTGATGCCTAAGTGGTTGTTATTGTTGTTAAATGACATTGAGTCAGTTCCAACCCATAATAACCCTTTATAGGGCTTCGCAGGAGCGGCTGGTGAGCTTGAACCACTAACCTTATTGTTCAAACCAACTTTGCAGTTCAGCACATTAACCCACAGCACCTAAGTAGCAGTCTATATACAATAGGTCAGCATCAAAAATGGTGTCACATTAGAGTTAATTCTGACTTGTAGCCACTTTCCTGTTTTTGTTAAGTGCAGTCGTGTTGGTTTTGCCTCATAGTGAACCAAGTATAGTGCTTCCAAGGAGCATCTGGTGGGCTTGAATTGCTGACCTTGTGGTTTGCAGTCCAGTGCTGACTCTCCAGCACCACACCAGGAGTCCTGTAGCCACTTTATAAAATAAAGTATTGCTCAATCCTGTGTCATCTTTGATTCTGGATGTAGCTAAACCCATTCTTGTGGCTATTGTGCCGGGCCATCTCATTGAGGGTTTTTTCCCTCTGATGTTTGCTGAGTGGAAATGGACTCCTGGTCTTGTTCTGTAAGATCAGCACCAGATTTGAATTGAAAAGTTCAGAAGTTCAAACACACCAACTGTTCCTCAGAAACTCTATACAAGGTCAAATTGAGTCAGAACAGACTCCAGGGCATTTAATAACAATAACGGGTAGAAATAATGCTTTCATATTTTAACTTAAGTGTTTTTTTCTTTAAAAAATGTATAGTCTGAGACTTATTTGCTGAAGATACAGTTGTGAAGTATTTCTCATTAGCATTATTCGAACTATATATTGCAACGCAAACTACATATTGCATTGATTTTTTTATATTTATTTGAGGAGAAACATTTATTCAGACATATATTTAAAAGTATAGCTAAAATATATAGAATAACATCTGAAAGTTGGGTATAAAAATAACACTAAAGTATTTTTTCTTAATAAAAATAAAAGCATCTGCAGGTGTGGTTTGTAGAAAATATGTGACTACCTTATTCTCTTGTGCATAATTTCTAAGGACCAATTTATAGATAAATTATTTCTATTATGGTGTTGTTTTTATTTCCCTTGATCTCTTTCTTAAATTATTGAAGAATCTTAAATATAATTCTTTTCAATTCTTTATCTGGTAGTTCCAATACCATCTCTTCCTCCTTAAGACTTCCTAACCCTTTATTTTGGTTACTTGCTCTAGCCATCTTGCCCTGTTGTGTATGTGCATGAGTACAATTAGAACTTTGTTTATTGTATGTTGGTTTGCTTCATCCTACTTTTTATTATTATTGTTATTGTTTTATTCTATCTAGGCAGCAGTTTAAATATACTACACTCACCAGCTATCTTTAGGTGGATTTGATAGAGGTGGAAATGTAGAAGCAAGTGTCTGATTGCTCTTCATATGGAGTATCTGAGGTCCATCTAAGCAGGTGTTGGCCACCACCTGTCATTGGTCCAGTGGTGATGTAGTAGGTAGCTGCACTAGGCCAGTGGGTTAGGTAGCAGGTATGGTGGAATGGAATGAGTAGATAAAGTTAATGATTCCTGACTAGTGAATGGAAAAAAGGAAAAAAATGCAGGGGAAGAAGAGGATAAACCTCTTTGAAAACAAAACAAGGTATGAGAAGAAAGGAAAAAAATAAAAGAGAGACTTACAGAAAAAAATATATCAAAACAGTATTAGTATAAGTTCCAGCTATCAAACACACAGCTGTGCTGGATATGGCAAGGTACACTTGCTGGCTCCTTTCTGTTGGAGAAAGAAGAAAACAAAAGGAAAAGTGGAAGTGAGGGTGGTGAAGATGATGAAGAAGAAAAATATATAGAAGAAAAATAGAAAAAAGGGAGTGTGAAGGAAAGCAATAAGATGAAAGGAAGAATGAAAAAAGCAGCACAGCTGTAGGACAAGCTCCAGCTGTAGATATCTGAGTCCGCAGGCTCATGGTGTTTGATATGCTGTAGTGTGTCTCAGGCTGCCAGAAGCAAGAAATGTGGGAATGGTACAGGAGAGGTGAATCAGTTGTAACACCAGGTCAAGGAGTGACAGTGGGGAGGGTAGTTTGACTGACCTCCAGGTTGGTGACATGGGGGAGATTATGCCTCTGGTCACTAGAAGACTATATAGAGTATTCTCTTTTCTGGTAGCTGGTTACCTGTGTGCTTGCTGGTACAGTCTGGACAAGGAAGTCGGTTATTTGGTGTCCTGATAGGAATAAAGATTGCAATAATTTAAAATGCTTGAATTGTACTGCACATGTTGGCAATTCAATTCTCCATATATTTCTTAGTTTACTGGTTTCCTCCAATTCCTTCTTCTAATTCATATTTGATCTATTTTTTTTTTTCCTTCAAAGCTCAGTGTTCCAAGATTGTCACTCATATGCTTCACCTAGTGTTGTAGGGGTTCTGTGTAGCAAGCATATCTGTCTACAAGCTAGAATTGTCCTTTAAATATATTTTGTTTGTTTTAGTTATTGTGGTTTGAGAATGTGGGGTGTATAATTCATATATTGTAGGTTTTCTGTGTGGGTTGCTTACAACACATATTCTGTGAGAAATTAAAAAACTTTCCAACATGCATATTGTTGCATATTTTAATTTTTTATAGCCAAGACTATTTCAAGGGTAATTCAGCTTTTTGCATTGTAGGGCAGTAATCAGAGAAGTGGTTTTCACTATGTTCCATTGAAGATGATAGAAATATCTACATATCTTTGAAGAAAAACCTCAAGCTTGGAGAGTCTGAAACAGTTGGTAATTGTTATTGAAAGATTTTCTAGGTGAATACAAGAGTCTGTTTTTAGACTGAAAGGACAAAAGTTTAATCATAATGAGCCAATAAGTTTTGTTCTGTTTTATATGCATAACTCCTTTCACCATTAGCCATTTTATTCCTAACAAAAATGTTAAACTAAGGATAGAGCCATTTGGTTAAATCAACCCCTTATAGACATTATGAAGATGTCATTTATTCCACAGGACATTTTCATTCTTTAACTATAGGGAGAAACAGAGTTTCAAATGTTCTTACAATGGCAGTGTCTTAATGTAGTGCAGTAGGATAATGTACAGAACCACAAGGTCAGTGTGAACCGCAAGGTCGGCAGTTCAACCCACCAACTGCTCCTCAGAAACCCCATACAGGGTCACTATAAGTTGGAATCAACTCAATAGCAATTAACAACAATAACAACTAAAGATAATTAGCAAGACTCAACTACACAATCAAAAAAATCAATAGGAACTACACCTTGACATCTACCATCCTGGCAGCCTGCATTCAAAGTTTTGTTGTTTTACAATATCCATCATAAGTAACAGCTTGATAATACTTTTTGGTCATTTTCCTAGGAATATGACTTAATTTATGCCAACACCTCTGATATGGACTTTGATTTTCTTTTCTAGAGTGAAGAACATTTTATTAGTTGGTTGGGGAAACAGTGTTGTTGTTGTTAAGCACTGTCAAGTCAGTTTCAACCCATAGCAACCCTGTATAGGGTTTCCTAGGAGCAGCTGGTGAGTTTGAACTGCCAACCTTGCAGTTCAAAGGGTTTTGCAGTCTGGCGAATTAACCCATAGTGCCACACCAGGACTCCGTATGCTCTATTTTTTCTGTTGTTATTGTTATATGACATCAAGTTGATTTTTAATTCATAACAAGGAGGCATGGTGTAGCACGTAGGATAAGTAAGGACTGCTAAGCACAGGTCAGTATTCAAACCCACCAGTCACTTTTCAGAAACGCTTTAAAAACAGGTTCACTAACAACAATAGCAACGCCATATGACAGTGTAGAATTGTCTCATTAGAGCTTCTTAGGTTTTGTTCTTTATTAAACCTTTATGAAATCAGATTTGAAAGTCTTTTTCCCATGAGCTGCAAGGTGAGTTTGAACCACCAACTTTTCAACTAGCAGCTGAACCCATAACCTTTGTATCATCAGGGCTTAACCCTCATATTTTATGTCAAAGGTGACTATATAGTTAACTGTCCAAACAGGATATTTCGAGTGTAAAAGAGAGTGATAACCAGATAAGACACCACCCCTTACAATAGTTAAATATGTGACAATCTTGTAAAACATAGATCCATGGTAACCTGCTTATGACCAATGCATGGCCATATATAAACTCATACCAAACCCACACATCATGAACTATGTTATTTGTAGGCATGTGGACAATGTGTCTTCTGTGAGGTCCATAATTTCTTTCATTCAAGCTTGTGATACTAAGAATTCCTTCTTTGTATTCAAATGGTCACCTATAATTTAAGGTTTGTCTCCTGATACTATCCTTATAGGACACATATTTGTAAGAAGATCTTTTCTGTGTATGCCCATGGGAAACACCATTCCATCCAAGTCTTTCATACCCTTTCCAGGCCACCTTCCTTCTGCTTTACTCTGATAGTCTTGTATGCACATGTGATGGAACAAGGACAGTTACAGGATCCTCTTTTACACCCACACTGCGCAATAACAACAAATCTTTATAAGGGGCATCACATTTCCTCCAGGCTCAAGTATTTCCTGGAGGAAATATGGAGCTGAGGTCATCTCTAAAAATGCAGCTATAAAGAAATGAAGAGGGGAGGCCATCTTTAAAAATGTAGCTATAAAAACTTATGGAGGAGAACAAACAAGATGGTGGATCAGAAGGAAGTGCAATAAAGAGCTCCGCAAGCAACAACACAGAATACCCGATTAAGCAGCCTCAGGGAATGGTCCCAGAACTCTGAACCACATATAAGGAATATTTAGAAGGTTTGAAGGCTTACAACAGGGGGAATTTGTGGCAGAAGCAAGAAATCCATTGCTTTCTAGTCTGGGACACTCAGCTGCTCTAGGAGCCACCATCTTGGGTGAGACCAAGTGGGAGAAGGATCGGAACGGCCACAGATGCCTGGCAGAACTGTGAAAA